CATGTTTATTCGAGAAAAGCGGGCCCTCACAGCGACACACACTCTATGATTATATATGAATATATTATATATATATATTCATATTTTTTAAATTCTAATATTTTTTGACAGCTACTTATTATCTTATATATATATTCTTGTCTTAATAATATATCTATATATATGAATATATATTACATTCGTATTTTAATATATATCAAATATTTATATGATATTTGAATATATATATAGATTATATATATATATGTGTATTATGATATAAATATATATTTGATTATTCGTATATTGAATATATATATACATATATATGAATATTCTTACGATTATATCTATATATATATAAATATAAAATAAAGAACATCTGAATAATTTTGAATTTATATATATAAATGAATCTATTCGATATTAAATATAGCTCAATTCAAATTCCATAAGGTTTATATGGCGCGGATTCCATATTATTGATTAGAATGAATATATATATATATATATTCATAAAATAGAAATTTATATTGAATTCAAAATGTTTACAATCTTATATATATATAATATTTTTTATTATATCTTTATTATTAAATATCAAATATTATATACATATATATATACCATGATTTTCATATAATATATATTCTCAAGTTAGATTAGAATATGTTTGAATTATTAATATTGCTATTTCGGATCAGCGATTTTGAGATTATTCGAATAAGCTATCTCCCTCATGCCCGAAATCCGAAGACCAATGCCCTGCATCTTGTAAAATATAAGATTTATATTTTATATATATATTCTTTGGTATTTAATACCGGAAAATTCGTCTTCGGGTCGAATTCTAACATACGATCCGTCTAGATAAAAAATATTTTCCGCCTATATAATTAGCAGAATCTGAGAAAGACGATTAGATTATGACTCCGAATAAAGCAACGAAATCTGTCAATAATATATATTGATAAGATTTTTTAATTTATATCATTATTATATGAATAAGATATAAGCTCCGTTTTGAAGCTAGCTCCAGAAATTTCGCAAGATATGAATAGACATATAGAAATATTCGTACGCAAGAATATGGCATGGTCAATAAGAATATGAGATTAGATTCTATCTCATATCTTGAATTGAATCTTGGAGATCTCTAGATTCAATTCCAATCAGTCATTTTATAAGACGGAAGACAAATAGATCTTTGTAAATATTAGTAAATTATCGAATTGATAGAAAATTGACTACGTATAATCCAATATCAATAAGGGAATCTTGAGATTTGAAATCCCGGAGCCTTGGACGACTATGGATATTGATCATATTCAAATCTATATTCAGATCAAATATTTCAAATTTCAGATCCGCTTAATTCAATATACATAATTAGTATATTATTTATATTTCTTAATATTTAATATTCATTCAGAAATAAATATAATTAAAAGAGACCCAATAAAGAATTCTCCTTGGCATTTATCATGAATAATTATTTCTCCTTATATTTCCTCCAATCGTTATCAAGATCCGAATTTTATATCATCGACTAATAATTTAATCTTTTGCTATACTTGATTCAGATTTGCGAGATATAGATTATAAGAACCATATCACATATAACAAAACGAGACGAAATTATAGATAATTCTCTAGCGAGATAGATTTTAATACGAAAGATAAAAATCAGTGCGTCTAAGTCATATAGATAATTTTCATATATATTATAAATTCTTCTCTGATAGGATCCGAGACAATATCAGATATAAATGATTTTTAGAAAAATATGAGATTTTATATGATTCATTCTATTATTATATTTATTGAGAAGATATTCAAGAGATCGTGGACTCTGTCAAATTTTGCCATAAATTCCGTATTCTAATTAATTTTTCTATTTCTAAATCATGAAGCTCAAATCTTAAATATTCATGATCCAAATTCTAAATTCTAAATTTGGTTAATTCTCAATGATAATCCTTAGAGACTCTAAATCCTGAAAGCTCTGAATTCTTTTCTTACGACATTGCTAGGAGAATAGAAAAAATACTCGATTCCCCCCAATTTAGGCTTTTTTTCCTTCTAAGATCAGAATTTAATATTGGATTCTGATTATAAGATTCAAGGCTTGGGATTAAATAAAAGAAATCTGAAATCTGAATAATAATATCTCTTATTATTATATTATCTGTATAGCCTAAGAGAAGAATTTATTAAATATATCAGAATAGAAGTTATGAAGAAATTAGGAATAGACAGGCGACAATAATATATATTTCAGATAGATATGAATTGCATGCGCCGATAACGGAGAAAAACTGTTCATATGGCAAAGATTGCCGGCACAAAATCATCAATCGGGCAATAGAATATTATATATACTCTTTTACTGAATCAATCTAATTCAAGATATTCTATATTTCAAAGATATCAGAATTTGAAATCAGAATTTGAAATTATCATTGAAATATGAGACGTAGCTATATTCGTGTTCGCTAGAGTCGCTAACGACTAGCGGTCAACCACGATAATATTCTATATAATATCATGATATCATTAAGTCGATAAGTCCTCAATATTTTAAATCTCAATTCTCAAATTCCTTTTCTTTAATTAAATTTCTCGATATTAAAATACGAAAGATTTCAAGAAAGAAAGACGTCGAAGAGAAATTCGATTTCGATAATTTCGATTAGATATTCGATTACAGAATTCGTATTGACTGATTATCATCATATTCGGATTCTAATTCAATCCATGAATAGATAATAAGATTGTGCTTGAATTGCTCATAAATTATTAAAATTTAATTAGAAGAATAAATAAGAAGATATTCGAATTAATTTATAAATAATCTATGATATTAATTCAGAAATTGCTAAGATTCTGATAGTTCTTTTTTGAATTTAAATTCAATGGAAATATTGATAATAAAATATCGATATTTTGATTAAATTATCTCAAATCAAAAAGATTGGACTTAAATTATTAAGATAATATTATAATTATTAAGATAATATTACAATTCTAATTAAATTATTAATGATATAAAAAATATAGAATTTAATTATTAATATAAATTTTGAATTCTATTTAAATTATTATTAAATATAATAGTCTAATAATATTCTTGATAAATATATTAAGATTCTAATTAAACTCTTATCAAAATATTAAGATATTAGTTCAATTCGAATAAAATTCTATGGTTCTATTTTATTTACTAATCAAATATTAGAGCTCTCATTAATATATTATTAATAATTTAATCAGAATTCTAATATTTGATTAGCAATATAATTCAAATCTAAAATATTTATTAATGTCGTAATTAGAATCATAAGTTTATTATTCATTTTAAATTCATAGATTGCCGCTCTACGTCCGGAAAATATTTATTTTAGATTTTTTTTTTTCCAAACTTTGATTTTGAATTTACATTTTCTTCGATCTTCAATTTTAGAAGTTCTTTTTCTTCGGACTTCTCATTTTGCTATTCATTATCTTTAATCTTTTATTTTTCCGATAATAAAATTCGAGATAAATTATTAGCATTCAGATTAAATTACTGATTCAATTTCAAGATCCTAATTCAATTGCTAATAATTAAGATCGATAGTAAGCCATATTCTTCATTAATTATTGCCTTCTTATCTTAATAAAATCAAAAACGATAATAATTAAAATTAATAAGATATACTTATTAAATAATATTTATTATATTTATCAGAATTAAATATATAAAACGACAATTATAAAATAATCAATAGATTTTCTTTAATTAATTGTATAAAACTATATAGAATATTTTTATCATATAGAAAAGAAAAATTAAAATTAATCTGCCATTCTAAATATAATATCCCCTCAAGCTATGGGGGTTCTGCCCCCCCCCCCCCAAACAGGCAATCCAGACCTTTTTGAGGGGTCTAGACTATTCGCCTATATTCCTAATCCAGACCTTCGGCTCATGGCTAAGATGCATTAAAAGCGTAATATACGACGACTTAGCATCAGAATCAGCAGCGCTACGGAACAGTACGCCTATACTATATGGATCTTTGCAGCTATAGTAATTTACGGTGACAAGATTCCACTACGTTTTTTTTTAAGGCTCGGAGACGATATTTAACGGGGGTCTAGATTACCAATTGGAAGGTCTAGATTCCCACCTCCCGGTAATTCAGACCTCAAGCCGTTTTGTGCTCAGGCTCGAGGTCTAAAGTCCCCTAGTCAACTAAGGGGAATATATATTAATCTCTTTATCAATTACCAATTCATAATGTTCGAATTTTTCTCATATAATGAATTTTTAAAATATATGAATTTCTATTAATTATAGTCTTAATTCAATTACTATATTTCTATAACTCAAAAATTTAGTTTATTATTTGTTTCCAATTATTAATTTTCTAATTCTTAAAATAAATTCAAATAAAAAATTCAACATAATAACGAAATTTCAGAATTCATATCGTACCCGCAAATACCCAATTAAGACCTTTAAATCCTAAATTATATTTCTATATTTTGAATGTTGAAATCATAGCTATCCAAGCGTATAAATATATGAGTCTCTATATATCTTATTGTAGCAATCTAAAAAAATTAGGCCATTTCCCTCTGTGTGGCGCAAGATCTTGGCAGCATGGCTCAATGCTTTCATCGCTTGCAGCGAGGTTTGCCAAGTCGATAAAGTAACTATGAACGCCTCTGTTCCTTAGTTAATTTGGCAAACCTCGCCGTTCTGCTTCTTCAGGTGGATGCTGGCGAGATGGCTTTGCGGAGGTTTTTGGCACAAAGATTTTCGAATAAAACCAGCAGGAAGTCTTGCCTCTTTCCAAGGAACAGATCTGGTGCCGTGCAGTGCAGTGTGGCGCTGCCCAGGAGCCAGAAGCCGGCTTGCCGGGCCCTAGAACTGGAGGCGCCTGCTGCTGCTGGACTCTCACTGTTTGGCGGACCTGTCTCCTTTTTCAACCGATCTGTGCTGGCGATTGGATCTTGTCAAAGGACGCCAGTTTCTAGTCGCAGAAGCCATATTGGCTTTGCAGTTGCTTCAAATTCTCTTCGGGGATGAGTCGTTTGCAACTGGGCCATCTGTCGCCCAGAGTCGATGTATGCTTTAAGCAATTAACGGTGAAACATGATGCACCTAGCAATTGGCGATGCGCGGCCAGCTGGTTGGGGAGCACCTCCATTCCCACACGCCGTTGGAAGATGCCGACGAAGGCTTCGGTAATTTGCGGAATCGCTGGCTCCAGGCTGGGTGGGTCGACCCTTTGGCAAAGCTCCCCCAGGGCCCAAACCGCGGACCAGTTCACGGGGAGACCGGCAGGAAGTTTCATGCCAGCGACCAAAGGCTCCAGAAGGTGCGAAAGCAAAGGCTGCACCTGAGCCTTGCAGTGCGGTGCGGCGCTGCCCAGGAGCCAGAAGCCGGATTGCCGGGCCCGAGAACTGGAGGCTGTCAGTGCCAGGGGCAGGATGCATAGGAAGTTGTTCTGCTTGAGCAGGCCAACTGCTTCAGCCTGCAGGCCATCCATCGCTGAGGCCAGAATGTCAACAGCCGCAGCCATCAACTCCTGGTCTGGCGGCTCATACTCTTCAGGGTTTTGCTTGAAGATCTGCATGGCGTAACCGACCTCGTTCACGACCCGAACGGCCTTGTCCACAATCCGAGGCAAAATCCCTGCAACGAAAGATGCCAAGTGCTGAACGATGCTGGCCATGCTCTCGAATATCGCCATTGCCGTTGGGTCACCAACTTGAGCGGAAAAGAAGCGCTGCAAGATGGATCCCAGCACCGCCTGCCCTCTTTCAGTCGTGAAAAGCTCCGGCGAAGCACCAACGGCGCCGGCCACGCACTGGTACAGCTTGCGAAGGTTCTTGACCTTGTACATGTCCAGGCACACGATGAAGGTCTGGAAGACGTCCTCCATGAAGTGCTTGACAGGCCCTGCCTGCAGGCCGACTTGCAGGATGGTGGTCAACGACTCGACGGCTGCAGCTTGCACGTGCTTGTTCGTGTCCCGGCAACGTTCCAGGATGGCAGACATCACCACGGGCAATGATCCGCTAACCAGCATGATGACGCCAGGTAGAAACTGGGTCAAGCTCAGACAAGCGGCACTTCGCAGAAGGGGCTGCTCTGCCGTAAGCTTTGAGAGGAGGAGCCGTATCATGCCATCCAAGAGTTCGGGCGTCACCTGAATGCAACTGGCACCAATGCAACCGAGGGCATGGATCCCAGCCTCTTGTTGTTTCCAGCAAGTGGACTGGAGCTTCTCAGAAATCATTGGAAGCATCCGGGAGCACACTTGTGGGTGCGTGCCCGCATAGCCAGCAAGCGCATCCAACGCGTCTGCTGCTGCACGGCGTGCTGTCCACTCCTCGCTCAAGAAGGTAGAACCAGCAGCCGCCTTTTCAGCCTTGTCCATATCACTAAAACCGCCTTCCTTGTGAAATTGCGGCTGGATCTCCTCCAAGGAATCCGGTCGGTCGGCATTGTCGTTATCCAAGGAGCCCGCGTCCATCGCCATCATGTCTGCTGAGCTGTAGACCAAGTTCGCCAGAAGTACCTTGGTCAGTTCCGGAAGGTTTTGCTCGAGAAGTGGATGCAGAGCTGAAGCCTCCGAAGCCACTCTCCAAACTGCCAACGCTTCACGGCGAACATCCTCGTCAGCATGCTCTCCAGCGCGGAGCATGAAGCCAAGGATCATGCTGATGTGGTCCTGCGACAGCACGGCCCAACGCTGCTCGATGACAGAGCAGAAGCCCTTGCAGGAATTTTGCACCAGCTCTGCATCTTGGCTCATCGCCAATGCACCGAGGCTCGCGAGGAAGCTCCCTTGCATTCCGGCTCCGGCAGGCCACTTTTCGGGGTCGAAGGCGCCCTGGACGAGGTACTGCATCAGCAAGTCAGAGGATTGCTTCCGCAGCCAAGAGGGGAGTCTCTGGTCGGTTAGTTCGATGGTGCGCGGCAAGATCTTGGCACAAGCGATCTGCACGAAAGCTTCATCCACGCCCTGCCCGAGCAGATCTTCGGATGTGAGGGTCAAGGCCCACATGCTACCTTCCACCACATCTGCATTGTCCACATGAAGCTGCTGCCAGAGCTTGTCGATCACTCCAATATCCAATCGTCGCCTCATCAAGGAGGCTAGCACGCTTCCTGCCGTGTGACGTAAGATCTTGGTGGGATGGCTCAGAGCCTTCATCACTTGCATGCATAAAAATGCCTCTGTTGCTTGGTCAACGAAGCAAACCTCGCTGTTCTGCTTCAGTAAATTCTTCAAGTGGATGCCGGCACTCTGCCGGATATGGATGGACTTCTCTTCGAGCTCGACAAAGATTCTCGACAAAGCCACCAGGAACTCTGGCCTTTTTCCAAGCTGCTGCATCGAGCTCAAGACCTTCTTTTGAAGGTCACCATTCGGCATTAGCGAAGCCTCCAAGAGCCCGCAGATCTGCTCCATTTCCGCCGAGCCCATCTCTGGGGCTGAGCCCGGTTTGAGCCCAGCTAAGTCGCCGGGCCCTGGCGTCGCCATCGCAAGGCTCATGGCGCTAGACTTTCGCTGGAGTGCGAAACCACTCCGAACGTCAAAATCAAACCAGCCTCATGGCCTACTTAGTGGCTTCGTGGCCTTGCTGTGTACTCGATATGCTCGTCGGCGAATGCTTTCCCGACAGACAGGACGACAGAGAATCGCTTGTCGAGCCTGGAGCCGGCTTGCGCAGCATGTGGGCTTCGATCCTACTAAATCAAACACTCGACTCAAAACATATGTATGTGTTGTGCATGTGTATGTGTATACACACAATGGGAGATATTCGCACTATATCTATATGTCATGCATATCACATACAACATATAACATACAACATAATATTTACTTATAAAGATATAGATATACACATTCATGTTATTTTTGTATATGTATGCACTACTCGTTACAAAACATTAACATAATACATGTACATGTACATATATACCCAACATACAACATATAATATATAACACACAGTGTACTTGTTTCGTAAATTTGTGGCATGCTACATTATATGTCATCTACTTATGATAAAAATAAACTATGTGTACATGCACATGTACATATAATGTCGCTTAATATAACAAAACATAACATGGTATAGTACCATACAGTATAGTGTGACAAATAAAGATTTTAGTGTATATAACCCACTATCTTATCATAGAGTATAAAACACCATGCAATTTAACATAGTGTAACAAAAATACCTGCGACCATATATGGTAAAATATCAACAACATTGAGGAATACTAGTAAGGTAGAATGCAAAGCATAAATAATAGAACCCTAACATATAACCAAACAGAACCTGACGTACTGCAACAGAATATAGTACAGTATAATGAAGTGCAATGTCACAATTTTCATATCAATTTTTTCTGCATGCATTAAACTTGTTATTTTATACTTGTCATAGTATTGTAACATGCCTCATACTATATTGTATTGTATTCTACCATATCTTTGCGTTAGATTAAACTATATTATACTACATTGTATCATATTATGTGCTAGTCTGTTATACCTCATATTATGACAGGAAAGGTGTTGTACTAAATTATGCTATAATATACTATGCTATATTATACTGTACTGTATTGTAGTATACTATGCCATGTTATGTTCCATGACACTATAGTAGAATAGATTTTGTGTTGTATTTCTATATAAAGTGTATTGTGTTATGTTGATTAATGTATTTCTTTACAACATACTATATTGTCAATTCTGTTCTATTCTATTCTATTGCATTAACGTATAGTATAGCAAAATGATTTACAGAGTCTTCTAGTATATTATAGCATAATATCGCAGCAAGTCATTGTGCAAAAAGTCTTGTATTATATGATGCTCTGTCCTATTATGCTATATTGTATAGTACCAGTATTGGATTACCATGTATTGTATGATATTACATTGCATTATATGGTACTATGTTCTGATACAGTATAGTATAGTATAGTACAGTATAGTATAGTAAAGAATGGGTAGTAAAGAATGGTATGGTATAGTACAGTATAGGATCGTATAGCATACAATCCTATAGTGTCTGTTACTATATAATATTATATCCTATTATATCATATTATATTGTGTGACGTTGTGTTTTGTTGTATAGTGCTGCATTTTATGATGTTATGTTATATTATATCTTTGTCACATGATTTGAAATCATAGTGTAGTTTGTTTTGTTTTGCACCATACACCGTATAATCGCAAATTCGCATTATAATAACTACATATATATATATATATATGTATGTGTGTGTGTGGTCACAAGAACTTTACTTTCCAGGACGGCGTTTTCTGCTGCTCTCACCAAAGCAAACCCTCTGCCAACCAACCTTCGTAGGATACAAGCATGACGCTTTGCTGGGTGCACTGGGCCAACCTGGATTCCCATCTTCGTCACCATCTTGATGATGTCGGATGCCGGAACCTGGCTGATGAACGAGCCTAGTGAGACGTCTAGATACCCTTGTGCCTGTTGGACTGAGAAAGCGGCACGATCAACTTTTGTGAGTCTCTTGATCACGGAGCCCAAAGTCAATTCCCTTAGCTGTTTGCTCTTCCGTGGCTTTCTTACGCAACTTGAGGCCGACACCTTAACCTCTGCTCGCGCAGAGCATCTTCTGCCTCAGAGGTAAAGCAAGCCTCATGCGGCCAATTACGTTCGGAAGCTTCCGCCCTGCCTCTGCCAAGACTTGTGCAGCCTGGACGGCCTTGCCCGGGGCGGGATGCCGTGCCACGATCAGGATGACAGATTGCTCTTTCCGATGCCACAGTCGACGCACAGGATCGCTGACGGTGCGGTCAAAACGCCGACATACGTCGCGCAGCAGGCCGCTCTGGCGACACCGGCTTTGATGACTCCTGCAACAAAAACATGCACATCTCACATGTGCATATACACTATATCTGTATGTGTGTATGTATGTATATAGATATACACATACTAATATGTACATATGCATACAAATGCAAACACAAGCCGTACACGCTTCCAGCCGTGGAGATGGTCTCCCGAAAGCAACAGAAAGCCTCCGAAGCCGCGAAAAAAAACAAAAGCAAACGCCCAGACCTCGGCCTCGTGCTGCGTCACCAAAGCTGCAAACAGGTCGCGGAACTGTTGCACCTTTGGGGGTCTAGGGGCTGTAGGGTTTAGGGTTTCGGGTTCAGAGCTTCTCGGGCTAGTTCGGCGTTGAAAAATCAAGGTTCTGGCCTTAATTATATGGGCTTTGGGTAAGCAGCCTCGTGCTTTGGGCGTTTTGGATGTAGGAATTGAAATTTCTGTCCAAAGGCAAGAGCTAAGGAGTCACATGGATTCTGGATGCATCGGCCTCTTCCTTGGAGAAGGTTACTTCCTCCAGGCGCAGCACGATGAAAACAAAAATCGCCGGTGTGAGCCGACCGAGCCTTCAAGGCCGCATCCTCCCTCTCGAAAACCTCTGCAAGCTTCTGCCGCAGCGAAACACATCTCCACCCATCCGCAAGTTACGTAGATGCAACCTTCGATAAGACAGGCACCGCATCGTCATGAATTTTCACGGTCTCGCGGACGAAATGGACCTCGGCAATGCGAAGAGTGCCCATGCGCAGTGCCACGCCAGTGGCGCAGCAACTTCCGATGCTACTTTGGAATCATCACTGGAACACAGCATGTCAGAGGCAGTGTCCATAGGGAGGAAGCGCACCCGCGGGGTGTTGGGGTTGCCGACCTGAGTTGGAGCCCTCCCCGCGAGGCAGAAAGGCTCCACAGAGCAAACTCGCCTCCTCCTTGCTGACGCCGGCATCTAAGGCAGCCTTGCATTCTGCAGTTCACGTGCTCCCCCGATGCGCTTGAAATCACAGCAGCCACCTCACGAGATCTCTCCAACTGCTCATACCTTGGAGACACGCTACTTCACCGCTCAAAGCCATTTAGGGCTATTTCCCCTGCCGTAAGTATGCGTAAGTCCGAGGCATCCGGGCTCGACCAGCCACGGTGTTCACAGCTAAGCTCGTGTCGGCCAAGAGCGACAAGAAGGATCCAATGGTTATGTGACCCTTCTTCTCCACATCTTGCGATTCGAAAGACTTGCGAAGATCGTCGATCTGGTCAAGCTGGAAGTTGGCATGCCTCCTGTTGTAGATTGGTATCGTCTTGCGACAATAGTCGGCCACTTTCAGGAAGCCTTCAAACTGCAGCGACTGAGTGGTCTCACGATCATATTCTCCGGATTCTTCAACCAGGCTCAGAGCTTGGTCCAGAATGTGGACATTGGGATGCAGCTTGGTTGCAACCAGAACGCGCTCGACTTCCTCTGGTGGTGCCCCGCCCCGGGCAAAGAGACGATTCCGCGCATAGGTGGCCGTGTAGGATGCCGATGTGACTTCCCTCTGGAGTCGCATCAGCCGCAAGAACTCATGTCGGTCCATAGTCATGCTGCCATTGAAGTCCACTCGACTGACCATGTCTTGGATATCATCTACACCTTCAGATTTCAGGGCTCAAGTCTTTTAGGACCGTGATCCCTCGAAACAGTTGGTATCGAAGTCGCTGCCGTTTCCGGGGCGCCTGTCTCGAAGCCAAGGTAGGTGAGCAGATCCTTGACCTTGAGGTTCTCAAGTTCACCTCTCCAGGTCTCTTGAAACCTCTGAAGGAAGGCCTTTCTTGGCTTCGGGCTTTGACGAAAAAGGTGAGTTTCGGGCTCGCCTCGCCTGACTTGTCGGAGAAGCGGTCAAAGGCTTCGGAGAGCTCCTGCTGCTCGTCCAGGGTGAAGCCGTTCCTCGCCTGCACCGCCTGGAGGAAGTTCCAGGCATCCTGGAACTCCACGTCCTCATCCCCCAAACTCTGCTCCTCGACCAGCTCTTCCCACTCCTCCCCCGACAAAGCGAAGCCCAGAGGCTTGCCTCAGAAGCACTTGAGGAGAGAAAAGCCAGCAACTTGCCAGAACTTAGACAATACTAACCATAAAGAAAGCAAGCTTATGATACCCCTTCAGTAATCTTGTAATACACAGATAATCTGCGATAATAGCTAGTTGCTGAGCCTTCTCGGCAAAAAGGGAGTCCTCAACAAGCCCGGCTGCAGAACTCGCGAAGCTCCTCCGCTTCGACGATGCCATCCTCGTCGGCGTCCACGTTGTCGAACTCCTCAGAAGCCGCCATCAGCATCGCATCCTCAGCCCCGCTTCCAGCATGTCCACGAATGGGACACGAGATTGCGGTATCTGATCTATCTATCTGGCTATGCATCAAACTACCCGATCCATCGATCTGATGACAGAACAAATGGCATGGGACACAAAGGGCTCGGAGACGCCGGGACACTCGAAGGCGACGGGCGCAGACAAGGAACCTCTCGAACACCAGGGTACGGAGGCTTTGCTTCCGAGGGATCCGAGGGCGAGGCTCGTAGAAGCAGAAGGGCGTGATCTTTTCACCCTGGCAGCTCAATTTTCAAGGTTTAGGGTTTGAGGGTGTTTACTTTAGGGGTTAGTTAAGGGTCTGGAGGCCCGCCCACAGGGACCTCAATGGTTTCTTCCATCCTGTCCAGGAGCTCCCTGAGATGTTCAGCACCTCAGTCACAGTATAATTAGCGGGGAGTTCCAACACGTCGACTGTCATACAAAGTCAGGCACAATACAGCCCAGCGATCTTTAGAAGACCGATGCAAAGTTGGCCGGCTTTGATGTGCCTTCAAAGCACGAAGATGATCTGCGGCTGAATTTCGCAAGGGTGCACCCAGGTTATGGATGGTCCGGGCCTTTCCGACCGCATGTCAGCCGCAGTCTTTGGCTGTGGCTCCGCCTGTCACTCACAGCCAACGCGCAGGGTGCCATGCATCAAGACTTTCCGTGTGCAGCTCAGCTTGGCAGATTTGGCATCATGCAGCATTGCAAACGTCCCGCCAAACCATCCGAAGGATGAGCGTCTCGTTGCGAGCACGTGCTGAACGCATGTCAAATGTGTGAAAAGGAACAACACTCCAAAGCTGCCTCCAAGCTGACGAAAACCTCCTGGATCCGATCGATCTCCTCAGCACTCCCACACTCACAAAGCCAGAGCAAGCCAGGGCACTCATACAGCTTTCCCTTCAAGCGGCGGCTTTCGTGAAGCCTTCACGGGCTCGATATGCTGCGAGGCACCGCAACAGCTCCTTAACACACAATGACATGTGCCAAATGTTGCACTACGTCGCCGCGTTGTCGGCGTGCCTCTGGTCGGGCGCAGCTGCGACCATTCAGGCCGCCCAGTGTAATGATCTCTTCGGCCGCATCCTCGGGTCAAAACCGACAGGGCGGCTTGCCTGGCGACTAAGACAGAGAATCCGGCCTTCAGACACACGATGCCCAAGGACTTCAGGAAGCCGCGCACTTCCTGTCATGGCTTTGGGGACGTCACCACGCAAAGCACGGACACGGAGGTAGTTTTCGCAATTCTAGGGCAGGATTACGGCAACGGGATCAGGATCGGAATCATCCTCGTCCTTCTCCCGCCTCAGCCGGCAAGTAACAGGCTCTCCATGCAGCACGGATTCAGGACTCAGAAACTGATCATGTCTTCTGAGCGACGCTGTCCACTCCTCCAACTTCACACGCACAACCTGGTCGGGAAACGGACAAAACCTTCGACAGCATGGCATGGATACAACTACGATCACCCGTGCATGTGAAGAGCGGAAAACAAGTGTGTAGACCGCAGATCCAGCCACTTTCAATTACATAAAACATCTTCACGCGAATATGCGCAAGCCGACGAAGAGGACATTCACATTGAAGCCAGCTGGCATTGCCTTTGCCCCTTGTAAAGTCGCACCTCCCGCTCGTACTGCATGTAGCGCTCCACGAAGTCACAGAAATCTTGGAAGTCCAACGTCGAGAACCTAAAAACCGAAGCTCCTCGCTAAGGAACTCGAAACTGACGCGAATCTACGCGAATGCCCCCGAATCTAAGGTCTTGGCTCATTGGTATCCTTGGCAATGGCTGTGGCCTCGGCCAAGCGCTGTCACAGGCACGAAGGCATGTGACTGGATCATATGAATCATATGGGCCTTATCCTCGGAGACAGGAACAAAGCAAAGGTGGGTCAGCACCTGGCTTGTCAGGGAAGGGCCGCAAGGGACACTGTCGATCCGCTGCCGGCCTCGTGCACCTGTCCACGGTAAAGGTCGTTGTCCTCGGAAGAGAACCTCTGGAAACAGATCCGCATCCTGACCACAGCGCAAGGGGAGAAGTGTGCTGCAAGTGCGAGCATGATGCAGGGCTTCTCGTATGCTGTGTTGCGAACTGGTAGGAAAGCAGCTATCCAATCAAGTTTGACGGAGAATAGTTTGCATGTATTGTCACAAAAACCTTAGCCTCTGCTGACCGATGCATGGGCAAGATCGTTCCTCAATGCAAGAACAAGAAACCTTAACAGTGGCCTTAACAAGCTCTGAAACGTTTGTTTCCCCTCCTACAAACTCGTCGATGCCCTTGCTTGTCAACAACGAGTCGCGAAAGAAGACTGCGGTGGACATGAACAGTCTCATGCAATGCTGCTGTTTTCTGTTGTGCAGATGTGTGCTGTAGCCATGTTGGACTTGATCTCACGGCCATGCAAAACTTCCATCTTCGAGAATTCTGCAACTAGTTCAACAGTCTCAAGCCGTCGGAGTGTGATGGATTTTATGGTCTCGGTAAGATTTGATTTCAGTGCGGTGCAGTGATTGATTCTCACAACCGATGCGCCTCCTGACTTCGTGATCTGCTAACACACCGCTGGGCGAATAGAACCTGCTAAGCCAGCTGCAGCGACAGAACAACGACAAGAGCAGTCCCCTGACCGCTGACCTGTCCAGTGCCTCTTGCACGCTGGCACACAGAGAACCAACCTGGATTTTCACTATGTCACTAGGTCGCGCAGTGCACGGGTGCCGCATCTGGCAAATCGGACACTCCTAGCTTGTATCCAAAGACTCGACTCTCAACTTGTGAACCATCGTGCTCGAATTGGCGCAGCCGAAGACCAGTGGACCCGCCTTTTCCCAGCTTGCAGCCGGAAGCTTGTCAGCATCATCTTGACCCTCTCAGGCTGGGGGCTTGAACTTCAGGAAGCTATGCCATGGCATCCCAAAACAACCTCTCGCAGGCACCTGGAAATGCATCGTCACGGTCTCAGCCGACATGACAAGGCTGAAATGTCTTTGAACTGCTACACATGGCTTGTCCTGCTCATGTCGTCACTTGATATTCAGGGGTCGACCCTCTTTCTGACCTTCTTTCGCCTTGGCAAGTCTCATCAAACGGTCTTAGAGTAGGTGAACCGGACTGGGAACTGCACCCGTTTCCGGTCGAAGGCTTGGGCTCTTTCTCCGGCTTCTTCCTGCAGGCTTCTGTACACGTTGCGAAGTCAGAAAAATGCAAGCTCACAGGTCCTCGACTGGGCTCTCTGAAGGGCTCCGGCCTGTCACAGCTCAAAGAACCAGCTGCTCGTCGACGCATGGTCAAAGCAAACTTGCCGGGCATTCCCGCAGCTTTGCCGCCCTGTGGCATAAAGGTGCAGAACTGCAACAGAGTCTCCATGCCCCAACATCTGGGACACGCGCTGGGCCATGGTTGGCAGGGTATGAACGCTTCTGACATTCTTCGGACGAGACCTGGAAACAACGTCTTGGAACCACGAAAACTCCCGACAGTGCTTTCCATGACATCGCGGACTTGGTCTGGAGCGGCGGGGGCAGACCAAGCATCAGTCTGCCTTGATGTGGCATTTCGACTGTTCGTGGCACTTCTCAACAAGACTTCTCTGAGCTCCCGACATTTCGAGTCTTGCAAAACTGAATTGCGAGCAGCTTTCGAACCTCGGGGACGAGCCGTGGCCCGAAAGGAGGAGAGCCGGGCCGATCTGGAACTTTGCCTCTGGCGGATGTTCCGCCTCAGCTCCTCGAGCTTTGGGTCGCTCCTTGCAAACTCAGCGCCTCTTTGGCCGGGCCGCTGGGGCCGCTGGGGCCGCTGGGCTTCCTACCGTAGTTTCACGGATCGCAACCTGAGCAGGCATGAGCAGCCGCATGAGGAGCCGCATGAGCAGGAACAGCAGGACAGAAGCACCACTGGAGGTACTGGGATATCTTTGAGCAAGTTGCTGAGGTGCCGATTTCGAATAAGCGAGCTCAGGCGATGTCCTGCTTCATACATTGATGCACAACAGCACACGGCGATGTCATGCCAATACGTGATGGAGGCTGTCCGCTGCTGCGACGCTGCATCGTCAGATCCTTAAAGGCACACTGCACGCATTGTGTACGTCAAGCATGCTTCAAACGCTGCAAAATGGACATGCACACACGAGCGCAGCACGCTCGCTCGAGTCCGACAGCTTCCGCAAGAATGTATCAAGCTGAATGTGCTCCACCTTGCCCGACAGCCGGATGCAGCGACATCAGCTCATCACCATCATCGTCTCTTCACCATGATGCTACTAGCAGCCTCGGAACCTACAAGAAGCAAGCTATGTTGCCTGCATGAACTGCAGGGGGGGCGATGGCTGTCACCTGGCCTGCACGACATCGAGCGGCTTGTGTCTATGCAGAAGCCGAAGGCATCAGAGTCTCAACATGTAAGTCCCTAACCGGCTCCATCTGGCTGCACAAAGCACCACTTCGGGCTCGCCCTCGAGTCACTTTGGGCCAAGGAGCTCCGGGTGTCGGGCTTGAGGACAGAATGTGAATACGGCTGCCGTGCCCGAGGACCGAGGGCCTTCTATGCCTACGTCTCCTTTTTGGAATATCTGTTGCGACGCATCCCAAACGTGCTCCAACGTCCCAGGTCGAAGGCACATCGTGGGGAACCTACCCGCTGGTTAAAACGATTGGTGAAACCATTGTGGCGCCTGACCATGATACTTGTACTAATAATTACTTATCGGTAGCACATCACGAATCACAGCCAGATCACACTAGTCCGAACACCCGCAAAAAGGAGCTGGACTTCGCCTCAACAAGGCTTGCTTTCAAGTCGGAATGGTCTTGTCGGAGGATCGCAGCTTGGCGCTCAAGCAAGGCGTGCTCCGCCTCCAGCTGAAGGAGCTTCTGCAGCAACTCTGCCTTTGCCAGAGGCTGCGCTTGTGCCGAGGCTCCCCGGTAATTCACCATGACGCCCTGCCGCCACTTGCGATGTTTCAGAGCCGCCCAGCGGAGGCGAAGCAGCCGACGCAAGGCACGTTTCAAGCGGAACAAGCCAAGCCGAAAGTCGGCTGCCTGCCGGCGGCCAACTGCCCCACGCCAGCATCGCTGGATGTTCCGCAGATGCTTGGGGAGCTCCCTCATCCTCCGGCGCCTCAGCCAAGAGCGCCACCAGGCCTGAATCCTGCATGTCGCCTGCCGCAACCTCGCAAATTCTTTCCTGCAGGCCCGCATTCGCACCAAGCTTTGTAGTGCGGTACAGACATATCTCACGCAGCCCAGCCGGCGCCGTGCCACAAGCGTCGACAAGCCCGCCACGATCAACGAAGCAGCTCGAGCTCTCCTCTCCTCCTTGAGACGGCGCCGAAGTCGAAAGCCCCGGTAGGCCGCTTGGAGGGCCTTCACCGCCCTGCGCCGGACGGCGGCCTGCTGTCGGGCGGAGTTTCCGCGGTACCACGCCTGCAGCCGAGTGCAGGCAGCCGCCCGAGCGAGTGCCTGGGCCACCCGCAAGCGCCCTGCAGCCGACTGCTTCAGAAAGACGCGAGTCCTCCCCACTGCCACGGCCTCAAAACTGCACCAGGCTGAGCAACACGACAGGGTTCAAGGAACAAATGCGAAGCCGATACTGAATATTTGTCAGGCCCTGGCATTTTCACAGGCTGAGCGCAAGGGCTCAGACTCGAGCAGCCGCCGGATGCTCTCGACCTTTGTGACACCAGTATCTGGAGGCAGTTATGGTGGCATCCTGCGGCGCTCGGACCAGGAAGCTGTCGGCACAGCTTTCTTGGAACTTCCGCATCGCAGCCTGAACAAACGCAACAAGGCGACATCCTCCAGGCGACGAGGGCGAGCCTCCATCTCCAGTTGAACGTCTTTGCATGCAATGCAGCGGAAAGCCGCCAAGAAGTCAAAGTGATAGTAGCGTACCTGGGCCCCGCCGAACCCTTGTGCAGCATCCGAATCCATCACACCGTTCACACAGCTACATTATCTGAGGCTCATGGTGTGCTGACTCAACATGCCAGTTTGCAAGGAGCCAGGACAAGGACGTCAAAGACTCACGAAGTGGATTCCTGATGTTTGATTCTTGCCGCAGAGGAAGACGTTGCGTGTAGGCCATGGTCCGAACAGGCAACAACATGCACGGTCTCCCCACTCAAGAAGACTTTTTGGGGGATCTGGGAGACTTGCTTCGAGCCACTAAAGACTTGTTTGAACACATTTGGAGCTTCTGGACATCTTGCAAAAAGAAACATTGCGAGCCTTTGCAGGATGTGTTCTGATGACTAGTGAGGACTACCAGCAGTGCTTTCTGGCACTTGCTACCTTTCCATAGCCTTCTCTATCGGGGCTTATCTTATGACTCTTTTCAGTTCCTGTACAGCTTCTCGGACTTTTTTGGGCGGCCCTATGCATAGCTCACTCGCGTCCCTAGACTCGCTGTGAGTACGCAAAAAGAGACTTGCAGCTCTTGTAGGATTTAATAGGACTTTCGAGATGCTCCGAGCAGGCAAAACGGGGAAGGCAGAGGCTGAGGTCAAGGCTGGATAGCCTGCTCTGGCTACGCGAATCGCCTCAAGGACCTCGCAGAAGGAACTGCGCAATGCGTGAAGAGTGCATGTGCGCGTAAGATCCCTGTAGGGCTGTGGCACCCTGGTAGCTGAGCTGCTCTGCAACGGAACTCCTGTATGAACTTTCGCTCAGAGAAGGATCCAGGCTTCATGGCCCCGACAGGCCTGTCGAAAAGAGGACGGGGGTCGGGAACTGCAGCGTCAACAAATGCCCGATTCCTGGGTGAACCATGCATAAGACACAGGCTGCTCCGTAAACGTGAGCACTGAAGCTGGCACTCTGCGTTGGGCTTGATGCAGCGTACCTCAACAAATCGAATCGCATCGTCGAGGGCTACAGCCTCCACAGACTATGCAATTCGGAGGGCACAAAGTGCGGCGTGGTGGTCCGGATCTGCCCCATCAGGTCCTGCACTTTGTTGTATTCCCGTGAAAAGATGCTTGCAGTCGCACATGGAGGGAGGCTGCAGCAGATCCTGCAGCTGCTGCCGGAATTCCGACGACACTGTGGACCGATGTGCCCGCACCTGCAAATATCGAGCAGCTGCCACGAAGCCTGTCCAACACGGCCCGAGCGTTCGGAAGCCTTCGGGCTGTTCGACGACAGCGGAGATCCACGAATCGAGGGCGAGCCTGGGACAAGAGAATCAGCTGGGCTGGGCCTCTGCGAGATTTGGCTCTATGAGTTCGGCACGAGACACGGAGTTCTCGGCGCTGTCTTTAAAACAGTTCCGCACAAAGGGCCAATCCTTGCGGAACAAAAAAAGGCCAGAAAAAAGATGCTGCCTCACGATACTCAGCTTCCAACACTGCCGGCCAGACACCGGACAAGGTCCTGTGAAAGACGGTCCTGACCAAGGTCTAATTCGCTCGCTTCAGTTGCACGAAACCGGTTGCTTCTCAGAGAGCGACACGGTTCTTCTCGAGAAACCCATCCACCTTGATCCACACCGACCTCCTCTGGTCGCATCTGTGCCAATCGGCACACAGTAAGTTTGGGACTGTGTAGGTCACCGGACCGGCAAAGTGCTTCACCTGTCTACGTCTGGACTCTCTAACCTATGCCACTTTCTCTCCACACTTCCGCTCCAAGCCCTGGACGATGAAGGTAGAGTTTTGCAGCTTCACCACGCCGAAAGAAGGATGGTTCTGATGCCTGAGACAGCAGCAACAGTAAGTGCCAAGCTGGACTTTCACTTTCATGCGAGCACTAGGGTTCTGACGTCTGTATGAGCTTCCTATGCCAGCTGCCAGAGGTGCCGCCTATCACGAAGCACTCCTCCCAGCCATGTTGCTTGTTGAGCGAGGCCATTCCAACTTTATGCTCCCTCAAGTCCACCACGATGGATCCCGTCCTCGTCGAGCATGGGAAAGATCCCTGATGGCGAGGACCTCACAAGGCGTCAGCGGAAGATCAACTTTCATGTCGTGCAAGTAGAAGAACGGTCTTTGAAGCAACTACAATCGCAGCAGACGGACCCGACGATCCTCACGCATCGCCGTGATAGCACTCTGTCGATGGCATCAGAAAGGCCGAATTGGCCATGCTCTGTTGCCCAAGGAGAGGAGCAGAGGTTCAAGCCAATCCGTCCCAACTACAATGTAAGTACAGCAATCGACTGGCTGTCCCCCATGCCCTGTCCAAGCCTCGCGTAGCCAGCTGTATGTGCTGTTGCAAAATTTACAACACACACGCCTATAAACGTCATCTCTACATCTTAGTAAACCGTGTCTTTGTTCTTTCTGTGGGTTGGCCACATCTTTCTTCTTCGTGTTCTGCACGTCTTTCGATTAGGGTCTCGCCTACCACTTCGGGTTTAGGTTTTTTCGGGCCTGGAGGCATCTTGGGCGATTTCGTCTGGCTTTTGGTTCTGACACTATTGCCCTTAGGGCTTAGGGGTTTCGGCTTAAGGGCTTATGGAGTGAGACGGGGCGAAAGACGGTAGCAGGACTGAAGGCTTGAGGCCCAGGCTGCAAAAGCTTCACTATGCCGGCGTTGTCCGGGAAGTCTTCATCTTGCCAGGGCCTCAGAGACACGGAAACTGCGGCAACCTGGGGCTTGCAGGGTGTAGCGGTTCAGGGCACTGTAAGACCATAAGAAGTACCACAGGGGGGTATTACAAGGGTTCCGGTGTGGATTCAGCATTCATTGTTGGCCCGGCAAGGTGGAGTAGGGCAAGCGCAGCTGAGGCTTCGACACACCCTCCTCTTGGTAGAGAATGGTCTCATTCTCAAAGATGAAGTTGTTGAAATACTGCTGCAGCAACTCGTTGGTGAAGTTGATGCACAGCCTGAGTGATAGCGCCGCGGATGAACACAGACTCAGAGAGGTTTGCTTTTTCTCTTGCTCTTTTTTCTTCCGGGATCCTTGCTGCTCGAAGGAGTTGACCTTGAAGAACTCGAAGCCAAAGATGTCCAGCCTCTGAGCAGCGAAATTGCGAGCGCACCAAACAAGCCTCAAGGCCGATCGTCGGTGTCTCGATCTTAGGCTGCGGCACTCCACAGAAAGTGGCCTCTGGCTTGAAGCCAATGGAGGCATTTGTCTTCTCCACGATGTGCTTGAAGAGTGCATGATAGAGATACCGTCCCAGGGCATCTCTGCACTCGGCCGCCTCAGGGTGCATGGTAGAGGGTTATCGTAGTGTTATCTCACAGACTTATTGGGTTCTAGTAGCTTGTATAGTGCTGGAGGATGTAAGGCTTTGGACTTAGACTCCAGGCTTCGAACTTCGCTTCTCTCCCACCTGCTTCGTGGTGTTTCCCATGCGGATGACCTGCTCCCCCGGTGCTTGCATCGTCCGGTAGCAGAGGACTTCGGCCAGCTGGGCCCCCGATAAACCCAGGAGCTCGGAGGCTTCATCCAAGGGAGCTTTGAGATCATCCGACGCTCCGGTGGAGGGAAGCACTTCGGATGCCTCGCTGTTCCTTAGCTAGACGGTAGGCAGATGACTCAACTTGGAGGCAGGAAAGACGTAACCTGAGAGAACAAGCCCTTCAATGAGGTGTAACGCGTGCTTCTACAGGAGCGGGCTTCTTCGCAGGCACAGTGAACTCAATGTTTCCAACATGTAGCACTGCAAGCACAGCCCGGAGAACGTCGGCGACTTCATGCGCATGGAAACCCATAGTTTGCATGGCAGCGAGCGTTGCCTGAAAGTCCCCGGTGTCATCCAGAAGCTCAGAGCATTTCGAGTCGCCAAGGTTTTTGAAGCAGGAGATTCCCTCAATCTTCCCAAGGTGCTCCCTCACCACGCCGTCCAGCTCAGGCAAGTGCGCCGATGCGGCTTGAAGGGCCTGATAGAAGATGTGGAAGCTCCTCTCACCAGGCTGATGGTCAATGACACGAACCGTCTCGAGGAGGTAGGTGCGAATCCTCGTTCCAATAAGCCGCTTCTTCGACCCGGCGAGCCCGTCGTCAAAGCCAAATTGCAGCTCGATGTACTTGCCAAACCTCGATGAATTGTGATTTCTAAGGGTCTGCGCATTCCCGAAAGCTTCAAGCAATGGGTTTGACCTGAGCACCTGTCGCTCCACCCTAGACAGTGGCTTCTCGCCCTCGCTCACCACCGCCTCGGCTCCGGTCAGTGCCAGGAAGTGCATCACAAACTTCGTCGTCTCTGTCTTTCCAGCACCACTTTCTCCACTGACCAGGACGGTCTGAGACTCGTCGTGATCGAGAATGCCTGCCACATTTCGGGGGTTCGGGGGGCTCTGCTTTCCTACGCCTATAAGTCCATAAGTCTTTCGTGACCTTCGAGCCTTGATAAGCCCGATTGGCAATGCTGAAGATGTGGGGCTGAAGCTTCTCGGCCGAGACAAAGCTGCGAAGCATCTCCGGCGAATACAGGCCAGGCATGTGTCGAAAAGGGTTGACCGCCAGAAGCACGGGACCTGTCAAAGTGTAAATGCGCCCTCGCTGAAACCGGTCCGCGATTGCCTGCAGAAGTGCAGCCTCGTGTAGCTCTGGCACGTTTGTTAAGTCATCGTACTGGAGAGCTGCGGCGTCGACGATGGTTGTATCCCGCCGAAGCAGTCGCACCTTGCCACCTGTGTGCGGCACCTCCAGGTCCTCCAGGTCATCTTCGGGTGAATCAGCCGAAACCAGCTTCACAACCACATGGCTGCTCGTGCTTTGAGTGACCTCACCAGCTGTCCATACCTGGGACGGGTTAGACACCCACACGGCCGCACCTGTTTCAAGACCACGGCCACCAGACTCCTCCGCTTTGGAAGGGACCCTCGTGGAGCCGTTTCGTGTGGGAGGAGCGGGACCGGTCCCATTCGGCGAAGCGGCTTTTTGCTCTTTCCGTGGCAGAGGCGGAACCGGGCGCAGCATGGCCACAGGTCACAGGCCCAACGCTACCTGGGGCCCGGGCCCTGGCACCGGGCAGAGGAGACTCGCGCAGGAAGATCGTGGAGCTCATGGCAAACACACCAGAGCGAAGGCAAGAAAAGCGAAGGCTGTGGAGACCGTGGAGTGTAGTAGCTGTGAGCGCAACAAGAACAACCCAAATGTACACTCAGCAACTTGTCTAAGGAGCCCCATAGACGCCAACACACGAACAGCCCTACCTGCTGCAAAAACAAGAATGTTCTGGTACATACAGGAAGGCTTAATTTTTACGAGCTAGCAATGAGAAATCCTGATCCCGGAAGCACCGCCGGGAGCAGCACGCTTCTAGAGCGCTTTTGCTTGAGCAGAGCCCCATCCCGTCTGCAGCTGATGCAAATGACAAAAGCAACTCCTCCGCAGCTTTGGACTGACCATGTTGCAGCGAGATGCAGCGAGTCAACGCCGTTTTGGTGTGAGTGGCAGTTTGGATAGCCCGAGCATCAACTCCACTTCACATCGTGTGCAATAAGCCCGCCTCACCTCACGTCACGACAAAGTGCTACTTGCTTCGCACATCCACTGATTCACTGTATCTCTAGACTCCTGAATGCCTTGTTTGAGTTTGCGTTACATAAAGGAGCCACCCTCAGATCAGCCGATTTCGCATATCCTGGCAGGCGAGCGGGCGGGGGCCATCAGACTCATCAGACTCAGCCTCCCTTCCCAAGGCAAGGTTTCAGGAGGCTCTCGGGTGCCTCCAACTTCTTGATAATCTCTGCCGGCGTGCGGTCCAACTCACTTGCAATTAGCCTTTGCCTCAGATTTGGTTTGGACATTCCGGTCGATTTGAAAGAGGTGTCTGAGGAAGGTGCTTCTCGGCGGTGAGGGTCATGAACTGCTCACAGAGGTCGCCGTCAACGCCTCGCAGGATGAGGATCGGAGCTGGCCGGGATGAGGCGAAGAACTTGGGGCCAGACAGCTCTGCACTGGGAAGTGGTAGGAGCGGTACCTTGAGCACGCAGAGACGGCTTTCGGACTGAAGGAGACAGACTCGATTCGACTCGATGCGCTGGGGGACATTATGTGATCCCTGCCACACAGGGGAGGCTTCTCCGCCCGCACGAACATCTCCAGGTGCTGGAAGAAGTCCAACTGGCCATTGTTCACGTCAACTTGCCGTAGTGACAGCCCTGTCGCAGCAGAATTTTGGAAGGCCTCATCCTTCCCTGCGAAAGGATAGAAGGCTCCAATAGCGCCTGGAACGCAACACATCGCACCGGACACGCCCACGGGGCACACGGCAGCCTGCCTAAGAGGGTGGAGTAGCAGATCAGCTCGCTTCCTCCCTGTGCCAGGGTTGTCTTCTCCAGCGCCGTGACCGTGTCACCTGAATGGCTCGGAGCGGCTCAGAGACCACTGACCACTGCTTCAGAGGCGAACGAGCACCCCACCAACGTGGAACTGCACGATGCTATCCAGCTTCGGCGTGGCACCGGTGAGGTAGGCAGTGTCGGCCTGCGTCAGCGAGGTCTTCTCCCTTGGCTGAAGACTAGTCGGGGCGCCTTCAACCGCAGGCCGGTGTGATCACCACCTTCCAGCACCAACACACCCCCCCTTTTCTGGTCACAGCATGGTGCAGATAAGCGGAGTGCCTTCATCCCCTTTGGCCTGAGGTTACTTCAGAGCTGTGGAAAGGCAAGGAAAACTGCTTAGCTCGAGCTATAGCTCTAGGCAGCTCGTGGGGCAAGCCTCGTCTGGTATTCTGCTGATGAAGAAGTTGTCAAACTTGTCCGCACCTGCACCATGTACCCGAACATGCATAGTTATGTCGCAAGCCTTTCGCCAAGCCTGCCATGGTCATGCTGTCCAGGACGGTCGCACAAGTCCTCAGAAGCTCCACAACGCGGACGCAAGCTGGACGATCCACGGCACTGCCGTGCAAAGGCATTCAATCCTCTCCCTACAGAGAGCCTTTGCTCAGCATCGTTGTACACAGTACTTGGAAGTACGGCGCATGACTCACGTACCAGACAAAATCAGGTTTCCTTCATGAATACGCCACGTTTTGGAGAGGTAGTGAGACTCTCTGTGTGGGCTCGGATACTGCTGCGGCCCTTGGTCCCTCTGCCCGTTGCAGTCTCGGTGCTGCTTCGGCCCGTTCCGCACGCCCCGGCCCTGGTCTCTTTACAAGCCTTCACCCATGCGCGCAGAGGTTCTTCGCTGGCAGTGACATAGCACGCTTTAGAATGCTGGACATGCACTGGTGGATCTCTGGCACTCAGACTCGGGCGTCCATCTTGGAGCTTGATCATCCGAAAGCACGAAAAGCTGATTGTCTGAACGACGGTACCTCTCGTTCAACTGTTCTGTGAAATGGTGGCTGTCAGGGCTGGCACGGACCCAAGCCCGTTCTCACGGAAACATCTTTTCTGCAGACAGTCATCAACAGAAAACGCCAAGGTGATTCCCTGCAGAGCACTTGAAGATGTGGAAGGACTCGCGAAGGTCTGCTGTGAAAATCTTGTCACCCTTCACGTGCCTTGCAAACACCATGAGAAAGCGTGGAAGCTCCAGAGGCCTTCCTCATGAATGAGGATTCCGACATCCACATCAGGCCCTCGGGGATGTTCTTGTACTCGCACTTTCGCAACCTCAGGCTTTCATGATGGCAGGGTCCCAACAAACCCCCCCTAAAAAGTGCAGGGAAAGGACAGCTTTCGCTTCCCGAGCTCGTAGATACGCAGGCACTTGCCAACGCTGGCCAGCAGCCGGCCTCGGAGCTCAAAGCAGAGCAAAACGGCTCAAAAGCCTCCCCTCCCTGCCTTCGAAGGGGAAGAGGCAGAGCGGGACATCCTGTCGCGGACCGGTCCAAGCACGTCACCGGGTGACCGATTTTGTGATTTGGCATCGCTGAGAGATGGACATCAAGCGGCGTAGAGTGAATAAGCTGCAGATGATATCTCCTCGCAAGATCACAACACATTGCGCTGAAGAGGTGTCTGAGAATCTGAGATTCCAACTCGTCGTACATGTACGTCTTGATGGTGGCTTTGGGTGCATGCCTCGGGTACAACCTGGCCACGACCGGCTGTGTCAGGTACAGCTACTGGGCGTGTCATAAGACATGGCAGGCATGGCGTCATGTTGTAAACGGTGCCGACGACGAGACAAGGCCTCAGAGCAAGCGACGCTTCCCACTGCAAAACAAAGCCTCACTTGTGACTTAGGTCACCACTGGTTTGCAAGCTGGGAGAAGTAGCAAACTGTCAGGCACAACGCAGCCTGAGAGCAGATCTGCACTCAGACATTCCTCTGAAACGAAATCATTAGCTTTCGCTAGCCTCATCGATATCCAAGTCAAGCTTGAAAACAGGGAGCAAGTTTGACGGATTCACCTCAGCAACTAACACCTGCTAACATTCACTCTGACATCCCTCCCTTTGCAATATCTCAGGTTCGAGCGATGCGCACACAGGATCCCCACTTCCCTTCGCCAGCTTTGAAGGTTCCAACCTGCGTGCTCCCAGTCTGACACATGCAGGAACAACAAAGGAGAGCAGCCGGACTCCAGAGGGAGCGAAGGGAAATGAGGGGGGGGCTGGGGGATGTGAGGGGTAGCGAGTGGAAGCCGAGTGGAAGCCCTGCGCACAGTATCGCCCCGTTGAGCTCCTTCCGCCGTCGCACCCCTTTCTGGAGTCGGCGTCAAAATTACTTGTTCATGCTGCTTATGTTTTTGAACTAGCGCGTCCCCTATCGTTTTTCCGACGAATTCGCCTAAGGCACTTGCAGGGACCAAAGCACAAGTAACCCTATCGTTTTAGCGCGTCCCCTATCGATCTTGGGGGTTCTGGCTCAACAACTACCCTCTACACTAAACTATATTAACGAGAATTTTGACCCCATCTCTTCTGTCTGCGACACCGGCTCGAGAGATCTGTTGGGTCGTTCATGGAGCAAAAGGCATAGGCCGGAACACGTCAGCACGTGCCCCTTTCTCTGACGTCCCAAATTCCAGAGCCGTCTTTCTTACTCTCTTTTCAACCTGCAGACGCATCTCGTTCAGTCGGGCAGGACACTGCGGGGCAGCCAAATTTAGGAATGGTGCAGTCAGGAGCTCAGATTGGGCTGCATCAGCACGCTTTGAGCCGTCGATGGACTCGCATGTAACTGCTCCACGATCAGAAACTCCAAGCGCTGGTCGTGAAAACAACCTCTGCTGTTCTGCCGTTGTAGTACGTACATCCTTGGGGGCATCACGAGTTGGACCTGCGGCTTCCGTGGAATTGGGCAGTTGTCCCCGTGCTTTTCGAAACTTCGGCTGTGTGCATCTTTGAAGTTTGTCAGGTGCACAGCAGGAACATGCTGCACATGAGCGTGCTGAATATCTGCGCGGTCTGGGCTACGTTTCTTATGTTTCTTAGCGCGCGCATGACCTACCCCGGTTTCAGCCCGGAGCTGAAGTTCTCGAGCTTTCGCGTCGGAGGGCTGCCGAGGCAACGCGAGCCCTGGACTGTAATCGGCCGAATGTCCACGCTTCTGAGACCCGGTGTGCACATGGTGCGTCGAAAGCCTTTAAACCCCCGATAACATGGCAATTTGTGCCGTGATTTCAAAACTTGAGCAAAGGATTCCGCCCTGCCCAGTGTCTGCCCTTCGCCGTGAAAGTTTTGCCCGGCCGTGATGAGAACGGAAGGCAGGGCAAAAGTTGAGCTCTCTGCCGGACTCCACCAACTTGGTTGGATCAGCAGCCGTGATGTTTGATGAATGGATATTCCGACGGGAACTCCTCGAGGGAGTAGGGAAAGTGATGCATTGGATGCATCGGTGCGACACCGGAACTTTCTATGTAATGTCGGCAACCACTAGTCGCTTGTACTCGTTGGAAAAGTCGTCAGTAGTCTGGCCTTGAAGCGTTTGGAGCAGGAGGTTTTGGCAACTGCTGGGCGAGGCAGGCAAAGAAATCGGCACACGAGGCCCACCTCCGTGAATGGAGCGAGAAGATCGTCGCTTTGTCCACGGAGGGTAGACAGCAACCCCAAGGCTCCGACTGAATCGCTACGAAAATATGGCGTGTTGCGTGCATTCTCTTCAACGCAAAACTGCAAACAAATTGCAACAACGAGGTCCGTCTGCAAACGCCAAAGCGGTGCAAAGCCGGAGCTTGCTGCTGCTTGCTGCATGATCGCGGCTCGCCTGCTGCTCTGGGAGATCCTCCTCGTCATCCTCGTCCTTGACATCATCCAGCTCGTCATCGACTGTCTTTGTCAGGCCTCATGAGCAGCGTTCACAGTCTGCAGCTGGTGTTTGCTCTCCTGTCTGACCTCTGTTACACGTCTGGGTGCCGCACGAATCTTCTTCAGCGCCGCCCGGATCTCACGTTTCGTCTCCTGGCACGTTTATCGCCCGGAAAACGGAGCGGAGGAAGGTCGGCTCGGATCTGGCACCTCGTTGTATGCGTTGTGGTCCGCCTCCAAAATGGCCAACCTACAGGGAGATACGGTTTCTCACGGCGGCTTTCTTTGTGGGACAACGCTGGGCTCCGGTCATGATCGGATCCGTGGTCGGCTGGCCAGGCGGCGGCAGAACCGCGGGAGGGAGCGGCACAAAGCGCCGAGGAGTGTAGGACAAGTTCATGACCTGGAGCATGTGAAAACGGAGGATGCCATGCATTTCAAGCCGACCGAGCTCACGGCTGTCTGGTTGAACAGTTCTCCCAATCTCTCGCACGCCAGAATGCCTTCAATTTCCATTCGCGAAATCAGCTCAGCCGAACTCAGAAAAAGCACCCTGTCTGGGCTCCCTGCGCAGCGTGTTGCCAGAGATCGCCACAAAACCTCTCCCCGGCCGAGCACGAGCAGAGCACGTGCTTGCAGCGTGTCTTCCGCACCCGCCCATCTCCGCGCGCCTTCCGGGCACTGCTCGGAGGCGAAGGAGGAGGCGAACTCCAACTGCTCGTAGCTCATCGGCGTGCCTCCCAAGAAGCGAAAGTTCTGTGGGTTATGTGGCTTTGTGGGTTCTGAGAGGCTACTACATGTAGGCTTTTCTGAGCCAGGGACAGTGGTTCTTGCCCTGGAAGTTGTAGGAGAGCCAGGGCTTCGTGCTTAAAGCAAGCATTGACGGCCTGGACAGGCTCGCAAACAGGACCTCACTGAAAGCCCTGTGCTGAGCTCCCGGCATTCCCTGGACGGAGACCTCTCAACTTCACAAAAACACGGTCGTCTCGTTCTCTCCCATGACGCAGTGAGCAAAACGAGCTGTCTTTTGGATGCCTTGTGAAGTCGCACCGCTTTGGCACCCAGAAATCGGGAGCGCTGATCGCTCAACGTACCGGTGACCTCTACAGACGCCATGTAAAATGTTGCAGACTAGTTCGCACCGGAGACTTTAGGAATCCTCAGATCCTGGCAAAGTCGACCACCGAGCGGATGAGGATGCCGCTGCCTCGTGCTGCAGCGTCTTTGCAGCTTCGAGGAGCTGAACGTTTGGCACTGCTTGCACTCGCACAGTCGGCTGGGGACGCGGCTCAAACCAATACTCAGGAACAGGCTGTGAACATCCTACAGACGGAGAGATGCGCAGAGTACTCAACACGAACAAGCCGGCAAGCGAGCCTCTGCCTGTCCCAGGTTCTTCATCTCCAGGAGGCAAACGCTTTCAGCAGGTGACTGCAGTGCCTCAAAGGCAGCATTGCATCCGCGCTATCCAGGGCTCAGATCAGCTGTTGTGCCTCATCCTCATACTTTTCTTCACACTAATCCTGATCCCCTTCTTTTTACTTATCTTCATACTACTGCAAATACCAATGGTAATACTCATCTTAAACCTGAATAATACCGATTCCTAATGCCAAACTTACTACGAGTCTTCGTACTTCTTTTTAGTACTTTCCTCAATTCTAGCCTTTCAGACTCGTACTTCCGATGTCAGGGCCCGGGGCCCCCGGGCCTGGGCACTCAGCTGCTTCAGCGGCCTCTCGCGCTCCAGAGAAAGGATGCGGATGGTGTTGTCCACACCTGCAACAAAACTAATAGTCATAATCGTTCTGCTTGTTGTCATTGTCATGAACGGGAAGAGCTGAACGGATAAGATTAAGAACTCTAGCAATAACACTGAAAAATAACAATAATCGTCATATTGCAGACTACCAGCAATAATAATCATAGCAATGATGAAATGCAGAGATAAGATCCACACCTGCACCATGTGGTTTTTGCAGGTATATTCACCACGACAATTCAGAGAAAATGGGTTGGTGACCAATCGCTTTTTCGCACGGACTGCGATGGATTCCCTTTGCCGATCTTCGTCAGGTCAACAAAGCACCACACTGCACATTAACTCTGCTTCAGGATCCAGCTGTTCTGGATTAGCAGGAGGTTATGTCCGTCCCCTGAAGCTAAACATTCCGAGTTTTTCCCGGAGCTTGAACAAAGTCTTGTCGCCCGCGTTGGAAAGATGAATGTCCTGAGCACCGACACATCATGTGCCACGGCGAAGAGGTCAGAAGGAGCAAGACCAACCACCGACTCAACTGAGTTTCATGGGATGCCAGGCGTGGTGGATCCGCAACTGGGTGGCTCGTAGACTCTGTTCTGCAGCCGAGAGTCGCTCGAAACAAATCCACTTGGCTCCTTGCTGGGCTTGGCATCCTGACCCCACCTGATCAGCAACACCCGTCAGAATCAACACCATTTTGCTCATACTATGTTGCACTGTTGCGGTCAATTTTCTACTACGGTATGTATGTGACAGACTGTGGCATTCTCGCTATGTTGTTTTTTATAGTTATTGTACCATGCTCCACTTTTCAAACAATACGAGGTTAGGTCACGTAATGTAATAAATATATGGTACGTCGGCAGATAGCCATGACCCCTTGGGAATGTTCGCGAGCCAAGGCCTCCAGGGATGAACCACGTGGAAGTTTCTGCCCGCCTTTCTTTTGACGACACCTCGCCGCGGACGGAATCCGTCATTGCAGATTCTTGGAGTTTCGGAGAACCCAGGCCTTTGCTGAAATCACCTCGGTGCGCGAGCTCCTGCATACAGGATGACAAAGCTGGAAAGGTTGTGAAGGACTCTCTGTGCGAATCGTATAACCCACCTCTGACTCGGCATGGTTGGGAAGCCGCGGGACTACTACCAAGGTGATTTGATCACCGTCCACCACACCAATCTCCTTCATGAACAACATGCGGCAGAACGTGCTTTTTGACTCAGACTAGACATCTCCTTCAAGGTGGCGCCGGCTCTGCAGAGGTGCTTGTCATGAACCCTTGGCTCAGAAAGTGAGGACATGTAGGAGACTTCAGCGAAGACGTGGAGACACGACTCTGCTCCAAGCCACAGCCTCTGTAGAGAGGGCGGAATGCCTGTGATGGACTCGAGCATCCCTTTCAGTGAGGTCTGCGATCTACTCCGCCGATGCCTGATGGGAACGAAGGAATGCAGACATCAGACCCATGCGATCGCCGCCCGCTGAATCAGCAACACACAACAGCCACGAGCAGAGCCAAGACAACTCTGAACTTTGCAGTCACAGGGCCAGGCTGGCTCAAGGCTTCTCCCCTTCGCTGCGCTCGCTGCGCTCGCTGCGCTCGCTTCCGGAAGAAGCCGCTGAAGCGCCAAGCTGGCCCGGGTAGCCCGGCTCGCGCCAGGCCTCCGAGTTCGCGAAAGCTCCGTGGACCTAACGCAAGACAGGGTGGCGGCGTGACCTCTCCTCCTCCACCCGAGCACCGGAGCGAGCCATTGAATCTACACCCCACCTCGTAGCCCTGCATGCTGACAAAGTAGAAAAGCTTAGCAACACAAGCAAACAAACGGACTTGAATTGACTTTTAGCAACTCTTCGTGCCCTGGATGGGCTGGCTGCGGGTCGATCGGCAGGTCCAGCGGCACATGCAAAGCAATCGTTTCGCCGGTTCCGACCCATGCCACCCGAATGCCTCGGGTAAAAAATGGCTTGGCGCAATTAAGGGCAACCTTTCTCAACAACTAGTTCTGTCTCATGTCACGACAGGGTGTGGCTTCAAAGGCAAGCCGCAGACAACACGCGGCTTTGGTACAGTCTTGTGCACTTGTTCGACGGATGGCATACTCAACAGCTCCGCCCCAGTCTTCGAAAGGGCCGAGGACTGCCTCGCTTCCGTGTCTTGGATAAGTCTCAGTATCGCATCGTCTGAGACCTTCCAAGGCTTGGATGCGGCCTTCGAGTCTTCCGCACCCTTTGTCCCCTCCGTGAGGGGCCCGGCAGGTTCCTGGCTCGGCGAAGGAAGGGCGGGCACAGGCGCGCTAGATCGCCGTCGGACCTCTCGGGTGCGTCCCTGAATGAGTTCGGCGATCTTCTCGTCAGGTACATGCCACCACTTCGGGTCCGAGTCACTTGCGGCCACGTCCTCGTAGCCTTCCCAGCCGTCTGTCTCCAGAAACCTCTCTTCCCATGGAACCCTGGATCCAGCCGTCGGTTGTGGCAAGATGCTTTGCAAATTCTCACCATTGCCGCGCTGGTGCAAGAAGCGAAGAGGCATCGGCAACAAAGCAAGTCCTTTCGCCTTACTGTCAGGTAGCTTTAATTTACTCAGCTTGCTCAAATTGCTCGAGTCTTGCAGTCTGTCTATCCAGGCATGGCGATAATCGGCGATAATGCAGGCTGTGTTTGTCGAGAGACACGAGACTATCATCCGAGCCATGCAGTGTTTCCAGCAAGACTTCAAGGAGCAAAACACATGCCGCCACTATACAAACGTCCACCTCCCACGGCCATGAACGACGCTCGCTGCCGGTTCTCTGGAACTGGCTGCACCTCGTCATGCGAGTCCAAGCTTGCTAGCTGCTAGCGGCTAGCATCTACCAGTACAGTAGGGGACAGCGCTGAGACCGTCAGCAGTCCGGGACTCCTGCCGCAATACACAAGACCTCGTAGTTCATGTCACGCTTCGCCACCTGCATTACACGAGACATGCGATGTGCAGGACGCACAGGCAAAGCCTCGCCTCGTTCAGAGTGTGGCTCTCGTCAATCTCGAAATAAAGAATCTCTCCGCCAGACAAGGCAATAACAACCTGACCGGCATTGCTGCACCACCACGGCTCGACTCAAAAGCTTTGGAAATGATCCAAACTTGCGGAGCCTGTCGTTCGTTCGCAGCTGCTGTTACAATTCGCTTCTGTCCAGGCACCCTCCACCTTATCACGGCAAAGTTGCGTTGTGTGCTGTGGCGCAAGCATGGCATGGCGAGGCTGTGACTCATTCGTTCTCCGCGGAAGCAAGTGGCGGATGCCTGTAGGGTGTACCTTGCCACATGACACAAGCAGCAAGTACGCAAGTCCAGCATGACTTCAAGAGTAAGAATGGCCTGTACGTAAGAGTCATCTGCCATCAACTGGATGAGCAAGGAAGGGGCGGTGGCCAGAAATCCACTGTCCAGCACCTACATCGACAAGCTCTTACGACTTGCTGAACTGTCCTTGTACAGCCTCATCTGAGTCTTGGTCGAACCGACCATCACACGACACGCAACATCACGACACGCATGTCTTTCGCATGCTCCGTGCGACGCCTCCTCAACTGTGTCGCCAATGGAAAGCACGAGAGTGACATCTACGAAGGACACCACAATGTAGCGGTCGTACTCACTGTCCATGGTGGCCTGAAACACACTGTCGCAGCGCTTCCAATCGCTCACGACGACTGTGCGGTCTACTTTACACTATTTGCCGCGGCACCTTCACCGTCCATACTGCATTGGGCTTTCCTGGCAGTTCACTGACAGCCATCTCCGTCACCGCCAAGCCGTGTCGAAGAACCCGCAAGGAGGCTCGCGGACCGCGACCACACATGGCGTACAGCTGCGGCTTTCCTTCACCTGTGGCATCTAGAACCTTCATGTCGATGATCGGAGACAGCGACGGCATCTCGTCATAAAGCATGAGGTTCTTGAGCGTTCGAGGCTTGAATGCCACAAGGGCCTGTGCTCCGTGCGGATGGGAGGATGTGCACATGGGATCCTCTTCATCCGTTCCGATCCCCTGAAACTGATACAGTGCGTGATTGCCAAACTCTGCCGCAGCAAAGAGGAACCCGGTCTTGAGAACACAGAGAGCGTTCGAAAGCGGCACGGTGTCAAAGTACTTGACCTGAACCTCCGACACAAGGTCCTCATCGTGAGTCAGAGTCACCTTGTACAGGTCCCCGTACTCACTTTGGATGAGGAAAAAGAAGAAGTCCTTCAGCTTGTGTGTCGCATGTGCCACGATGAGCAAGCCTTTCTCCTGGGCCATCTCAAGACGTCTTGGAATCGCGCACACGACATCGGGGTGGCCCTGCTTCTTGTACACGAGGCAATTTTCACAACAGACCAGGACCCCACTCGGCCCATCGACACCCCCCGGGACGGCGATCAAGGCATGAGCACTATGGTCCACTGCATCTGCAAACTTTCGAGTCACGTGGTTTAGGCCCAGGTCCATCTCGTAGAGTGTCAGCATCTTCTGTGGGGGCTCTGCCTGCGGATCCTTGTCCACCTGCCAAAGAGCAGCGCACTTCTTCAACACCTCCACCCGCTTCCGTTCCCTGCCTCCTCGTAGCTGAGTTCTATGCTGGCGAAGAGAGGGTTCTCAAATCCCACATCCATGCCAACCATTGCATACACCAATGTGTAACCTTGATCTGCGGCTGGCAGTGCCAGGGAACAGTTGCATTCGAAGCTAAGCGCGCTGCTCTTGTGCGCTTCAAGCGGCGACGAAATTGTCAATCGCGCTGCAGAGTCCCTGTTCAGAATGTAGACCTGGCAGAGAGAAATTGAGGGCTTGTCCTGTATCGGATTGAGGAACAAGCTACAAAAGCCGCACAATCCATCTAAGGCATGAGCAAACTTTTGCTTCTCAATCGCGCCGATCATCACGGCTCCTTAGACTCCCAATACAGAGGCCTGCAATGCTTCCGTCTCCGATGCGTTCTGTCCGGGCTGTTTGAGGGCATGACGACCCTTGGGGTCAACTGCGAGATATTGACCCGGCCTCGGCCACTGCAAGAGTGTGGAAAGCTTAGCAGAAGATGGGTTTAGGGTTTCGGGTTTCGGGTTTAGGGTTGAAAATGGCCCCACTCTCTCAGGTTGGGACACGATTCTCCGGCAACCGGTTTTGCCGAAGGTCTCTTGATGCACTTTCTCGAACCTAGGCTCGCCGTGTCTCAACGCGGCTCTTGGAGTCAAAGGGCGTCGAGAAAGGCCGAGACATGTTTTTCGTACCATCGTACTCCAGGATGACTATTCTGCCCGAGTCCGAAGCCACAACCTGCAATTTCAGCGATCAGAAAAATGCTCACAAGATGCAATGAAAGCGTGCCGGGCAGGCTATGTAATCCCGACTGGCTCCAGTCAGTCTGAAAGGATGCAGTGCTCGGATGACACCGAAAATCTCCTGCAGATCCAGTATCTCAGCAGTTCGGCCACTTCTTGCAGGAAGAGTCTGCTTGGACCACACGACACTCAGCAACGCTCCACGGACAGGATGCTCTGCACTTTTCCGGAATCGTCGGGCCTAGAGCTGCGATGATGCGCTGCTGTGCCAAGGGCCGTGAAACAGCAGCGTTCTTCTCAGTGGGCCTTAGCAGCTCCAGCGTCTTGTAGCGGGAGCACACAATCTCCTGACAACAACAAACTGACGAAGGCTGCAAAGCACGCAAATTGGCAAATTGGCATGCATGTCTCGCTCCTGCGCCTTCGGTGCCGAGAAATTTCCGTAGATGGCATGCGTGATCTGCACATGATTCAAAACTTGTGTGGAACAAAGCGCGAACCGGAACACCAATGGATCTCAAAATCACTCTTCCGTATCCATGCCAGATCGTGAAGTTGATTTCCACATGTTTGGAGGATCTAAGCAGCCGATTCCAACTTCAGCCGACAGACTGCAGAAGATCTCTGCAGTGTCAGCTGGTAAAGCTTTGGCCTCACGTTGAAACATGACAAGATGACTTTCTCGCACAACCATTCTTCACCTGATGCAAACATCTGAGACTGGCGCATGCCCACGTTCGAAGCAAATCAAAAAGGCCTGGCTGGACAGGGGATGCACTCTCGCAGATGACGTGGCAATAGCGAGGCCCCAGCATCTGTCACAACTTCTCCGCCGCCTCCTACCTACAGCTGCAAGCGCGATCCGAATGGCCGCCGGCACAGGAATCCGTGTAAATTCGTGCTAGTTCGTCATCAAATTCCGGTTAGAACTCACACTTGCACACAGTTCTACAAAGGACTTTCACAACAATGGTAAAACATGAGGTGTTGTCATGTGTCCTATGTGGCTTTTGTCGACGTGCAAAGTTGCACGAGCATTCCGTCTTGACCCGCTCATGTCTTGGGCAGTTGGTGGGGATATCTCGTCGTGCTTGCACGTCACCCTGCCGGCCAGTCGTGCTTCGCGACATGGCAGCGTGGTGTCGAAGTATATACGGAACGGTGCTCCAAGGTTGGACATCATCATCATCGGACTGGGCATCCTTGTTATGCTTCGTGTAGCCGACAGTGTAGCCAATTTCTGAAAACATCTAAACAAACATTGCCTTCCACTCTCATTGTTCTGAGCTAGCCAACTGCAGATCATCATCTTGTATCAACTGACAAACATAGAGATGGGACCACCAACGCAGCTTGAAGCTGTTGCGATAAGTAACTGTGGAGGCCCTTTGTCCGCGGC